GGTGGAAAAGACTTGTTTTGGAATAAAATGACAAGGTCGTGAAGACATGTCTTGTTCAAATTTTCTTTTTCCTCAAAAAATAAAGTTTTCATCTTAATCAACTTCGAGTAGGCTTCACTAATAGGTGCGACACACGAGCTAAGGTCGGGGATACTCGTCTTGGTTAGTGTAAGTTAGGGTCGGGGATACTCGTCCTAGTTTAAGATTAATGAAGTCATCAACAATAAAGGCGGACATAGACAAAACATGAAAATCAAATAAAGCACAGATTAGGGAATGCCTTGCACCTCTCCCCCGTCAACGGAATTCTTTACCCGGACTTTATTTTTCCAGACCAATAATAATAGAGTCAAATCTTCCTTTGACTAGGAATTTAAATAAAAGGTGACTTAGAACACCCAAAAATCAATTCTAAGTGGCGACTCCGTAAATAAAATAATTCCTACTCAAATTTGTCACTTCAATTGGGAAAACTCTTTAACCCACATTCCATAACATATATATCTTTTAGGGGTAAAAAGGGGGTGTGACAGCCGCAGTTTATGGTGTATGCATCTTTTGGCATAAGGCCGTAGTTATGTATATGTATACTTGGGTCTGAGGCTGCAGTTTGTGCACATATATATTGGGCCTCAAGCCGTAGTTTATTTATTCAGATAAACAGGTGATTCATCATTCATAAGAGGGAGTATTCATATCCTTACTTCCTTTATTCAGTTCAGTTATCAGTTATCATTTCAGTTTTAGTTTTAATAGTTATCATTTCAGTTATCAATTATCGATTCTCAGTTATTAGCTCAGCATCAGTTTCAGCATTTATAGTTCTTTCTTTCAGTTGCTTTACATACCAATGCAATTCAAATGTATCGACGTCCCTTTTGACCGAGGCATGCATCTCACGTTGCATGTAATGATTTACAGGTTGATGATTTAGAGCGCTAGGATTCTCGTACCAGCTATTTGGTGATCCCCAGTTCTTTCGGAGAATTATCATTACCTTATAGTCTTCAGTATTTTAAGTCGGTGTTTTCAGTACTTCATTAGAGGCTTCATAGACTAGAGTAATAGTTAGACAGAGTCACAGGCTTTTCATATTTAGAAATATTGGCTACAGATATACTTCGGACTTATGCTAGTGTTCTCGCACATTAATTTATATCATTCAGACTTTCAGTATATCAGCATGTGTCAGTCTATCTTTCGCATTCAGTATGTTATGATATCACATGTTGATTCAACCAGTCAGTTGGTTCACTCGGTCCCAGTAGTCAGGCACCGGGTGTCGTGTTATGTCCAGGCCCAGGTTCGGGGCATGACAAGTGGCAAGGCTTACATCCGAGCTAGAAGCGGACAAGGAAAGAGAAAGGCTTAGAGATGCTCAATTCCTTGGTATGCAAGCTCAGATCAGAACTCTCCTTTGTACTGGAGTTTTTCCGTTGGCCCGGTCTCGTGAGTCATCGCTAGTGGCTCGACCTCCACGTGATCGTTTTTCTCGTCCTCCACGTGATCGTTCTTCTCGTCCTCCACAAGACCGTTCTTACCATCGTGTAGATGAAAGTTCATCAGATAGTGGTGATGCTGTAGTAAACAGTCCTTTATCAATACTTTGATATACTTTGAACTAGACTAATAGAACTTGTTTTGAATTAGAATGAACATTTTTTAACTTGTTGTAATTACTTAGTTTTTGATTGGTTTTGAATTGTGATGTTTAAATGAGCTTGTTAGTTTTAAAGTATTAATTGGATGTTTGGTTGGATTTGTGGTGAATTAGGGGTTGTTTATGGTGAATTTGGGGTATTGGTATGCTGTTTTTATTTGGCAGGTGGTGTAGCTACCGAAACAGACATTTTCTGCCAAAATTATTCTCAGAAAATCGACCGACCTTGGTCAGTAATTAAAAAATTAAATTGCAAAATACCGAACAGTGTTTGTCGGTTAGTGCACATTGAATTCCTAGAAATTCAACATTATGAACCAACTTTGGTCGGTATGTTGGCTGCCATATCCACATTACCGATCAACGTTGGTCGGTACTGTTAAATTTTAATTATTTAATAAAAATATTTTCTAATACCGACCAACGTTGGTCGGTAATTAAAATATTATATAATTAATTCACTTTTCTTTACCGACCAAAGTTGGTCGGTAACCAAAATTATTAAATTTAGCACACCGACCAATGTTGGTAAGTAAAATTAAATTATTAAAATAATATTTCGACCAATATTGGTCGATTAGTTAATTAAATTATCAGATGGTCGTGTAGAGAATACCGGCCTAAGTTGGACCGACTTTGGTCGGTATGCTCTACCTATCTTTAAATTACTGACAACATGTAAATGGTTGCGTTTTGGACGGTTATTGGCCTTACCGATCAAATTTGGTCGATTTTACGGACGGTTTTAAGCGAATTTTTAGTAGTGTTTAAAGTGTGATGATGCAAAGTCTGATTTAGACGCTTAACTCTTTGTGATTACTGGGGAAATTAGCAAGAAACAAACAATCTGCAAAGGTTACATCATCACTCTAATTTTTGTGATAAGATCCCACTAGCAGCTGTCCCTCCTCTTCCATGTGATTCTTGCGCCAAAAGGGCCCTATACTGCTTTGCTTATCATCCGTACTTTTTGAAATTCTACCTGCGTTTTAAAATAATAAAGGAATTAAATACTAGAAAAATAATACTCTAGTACTTAATTGGGCAGCATATCTTATAATGGGCGTTTAGTGCACAAACAACAAAATAATGTACTTCAGCAATAAAAAGAATCAAGTTGGGCAGTTGGAATCTCATCGCTTATCTTTTCTTCAGGCTTTTGATTAATTTGGATTTAACACCCTTGCCATATTTGATTGATTGGTAGTGGAGCTTTGGCATTACGAAAGCACTAGCATTAATTAATTAAAGATACGCACAAAAGTTCCCCTTTCGCTCGTCGGAAATTATGACATTTTTCCAACAAATGCCCAACTTAATCTCATTTATGTTTGTTTAATTCTACTCCAAAAACTAGTTCAGAAGTTATCATTGTCATATAATGGGACGAGAATCACTTCAGCAACAGATGTTGAGTATTTAATACTCCCACACTAAGAACAAGATATCTGGAGTGTAGATAATATAACATGAGGTGCAAGATTTCACAAACCAAGAATGAAAATTGATCTGAATCTGATACAACATGAAGGAAAATAAATTTTGAATCTAACTCAACTTCAAAAATCAGCTTGTAATCAGGTGCGAATTGCCCAACGCGAGAGAATTATTAAGGTCGAAGATACTAACATGTGAGGAATAGACTAATATACAACAAAGGAGATAATAACTCATGAAATTGCAACATCATCAGTTCGAATATCTTGGTTGTTTTCCAGCAATTGAAGGGTCAATTCGAAAGTGAACTAAACAGGGATCAGGGCCAGGGGTCAGGTGCTTTGCTGATGAAGAAAGGTGGAAAAGAAAAGTGAAACTGTAGTGAAAGTAAAGAACGTCAAAGAACAAAAACAAACAAATCATTACGGATGACGGAGCCACTAGAACATGGGTTAAGTGGTGGGGAAAGTGGTGTTCGGTGGAAAGGAAGATGAAAGAATATGTACATAAAAAAAGATGTCATTTTCATTCTACATAGAAATTAGGTCAGGGGTAGAAAAGTAGTGAAGGAACTCCTTGTATATTTTTTATTTAACTTTTTTGTACTAACAATAAAAAAAAAAAAGTTTTAAAAAATAATTACTACTCAAATTTTTTCATTTCAATTTATATGATGCACTTTGACGGAGGAATTTGTTAAAATAGAAAGACCTTTGTAGTTTGTATGGCTATAGGGTAATAGCTGTGCAGTGGACTGGTTTTCAGAGTGTAACCACTTGTGAAAACGTAGGGATGTATATAACTCGGGTTGATTCGGATTTTTCAATTACCAAATCAGATTAATAGTGTCAAGTTTTTAAATCTATAAACCAAACAAACCAATAAAGTCGAGTTTTTCAATCTCGTTTTTCTCTGGTTTTTCGATTTTTCTCGGGTTTTCAGATTTATTCCTTGTAAAGGCTTCAAAGCATAAAATATGTAACTTGTACTCCAAATATTTTTTTAGTCTTAGTAGATACAACTATGTAGTATATTTTTCAAGAAAATAACATAATAATATGAGATAAGTCATAGCATCATACTTAAATATTCAATAACAAAGATAATAATATTACATAAAGCAAATATTTTAATTAATAAGCCATAATGAGAATTAACTTAATCTAAAAATACTATATAGATCATGCTAAAATACGTATAGCTAATAAGTATTATTAATTGCATAACTAAGCACTAAAGAAAAAGGTAAAGTTATGCATTTTCATTATAAACCATTGTAAAAAGTATATATATAAAATAGATATCCAACACCATAGCTATTCCTAGTGTTGAATTGAATTTCTTTTGTTAGCATTAGCATTGATTTGAACTTTGTTTGAGTTAATACATTTATGGGCTATAAAATTTATTTACCATACAAGAATGTTAAGTCCAAACTTGAAATAATACGTTAAAAGATAAAACTGTGAAAAAGTTTAAGAAATAGTTATAAATTATATTACAATAAATAGTTATATGTACAAAATATTTCTAAAATTGTATAAATGTAATATCGGGTTGGTTTGGTTTCGGTTTGACTTTTTTTAATTAAAACTAAACCAAATCAGTTATGGTGGGGTTTTTTTTTTTCCTATACCAAACCAAATCAAACACAATCACAATCAAGTTATTTTTTTCCGCTTTGACTCGGATTATCGATTTGGTGCGATTTATGGTGAATTATGACCATTAACGTTTGATGTTCTAACGGCTAAACGCATAACCTTGTCTTTCTTTCGAGTACGTTCCAAAAAAAAATGAACTTTCCTTTATTTAAAATTCTTTATAGTAGTAATTTTTAATTTATCCTATATCATATTTAAGAATATAAATTATGAGGCTATTTTTGGTATGTCAAAAAGTCGATGAAGTATGTACCATGGAATTATACAAATTTCATTGATATTTACAAATCAGAAGAAATGGAATTTGGTTGAAACACAACTCAATATATACACTCTGCTATACATAATACACCAACGAGGCCAGCTCTTAGATCAGTAGTACTCGGTACTCCCCTAATATAAAGGTAATCCCACTACCATACGAATTGGCTTAGGAGGCGAAGGTGGCGGCTGCGGCGGTTTCTGCACGTCTACAACCACATTTCCCGGTCGGGGAGGCTGACATGGACATGGCATTGCTATGAATTTCGGAATTTGATCGCCTGGCATCAACACTGCAGGCATGCTTTGGCTTTGGTTCTGCTTTTCACTCTGTAAAACAGAGAATGAACAAAGTTTTAGCCATAAGTTTTATGACAGAACAGTTGATTGTCCGTGACTGTGTCTAGTTGGATCAATATGTTACCCTCATAAAACAATTAAAATAACATGTTTATTAATCCTAAAATAAAGAGTTCGACTAGGGTTGAAGACTAGCTCATTCGGAGAAAAAATTGATAAAGTGAATTAAAGTAGGTAAATGTTACGAGTTGGAGTCTCTTTATTGAATAAACAAAAATATTCTCTTGAATTTGAGAGTGTGACATTTGTTTCAAAATTTTGGGAAATTTATGTTTTTCTCTTTTTTATTTTTCGGAAAAAACTGAAGAATTTCCTTTAGCAATCGCGGACAATAATTTTTAGAAGTTGAAAAAAAAAAGAATATTTGAAGTTAAGATTGAACGGATTAGTATATCTTACCATGCGGTGGGTGTGTTTGGGTTTCAAGGATGCATCAGGATCATCGCCGGCTTCGAGGTCGGATAAAGATCGACGACGGAGCGAACGAATTTTGTCCCAGTGATAGCAGCAAGAAAAGACGCCACTCAAGCTGAAAATGACGAGCAAAAGAAGAGCAGTGCCAAGAGGAAATCCTAGAGATGGCCGAGATGATGACTCCGCAACATGGGGCGGTGTATAATACTGAGGACTCTCCATTTTTTGTTCTGTAACAACAACAACTTGATGAAATACTACTCTCCTCCCCGCATCCAATGCACAAGGAAGAATAGCAAAAATGATGTAGTATATATATTCAGCTTAAAATAACAATAGGAATGCTGTGGTTTAAGAACATATTAAAAGCTTGAAAGTGAAGGTGGATTTGGTTGAATTGTGACACCAAGTAGTGGTGAGGGGTAAGAATTAATTTATAGACAAGGTAGAGACCTAAAAGTGTGTACGTGTAAAGGTACATTTGCTGTCCGGGCCGAGGTACGGAAGGAAAAGTTGGTGGGGGCCTACTTCCTTAGGTGCCGAGCATGATCCCTCTCTATGGCCTACTGCATATCAACCTACTGCATTATGCATTCGTTAATTATTTGGTTGGGAATAAATCATAAAATTTAAAGCATCAAACGTAGGTTTGAAGTGTATTTCATCTCTTGTTTAAAAGTTTAAACTTATAGATTATGCAATAAATTAAAATCAATTCAATATAGTACCGAATATCTTGAGTTTATATCTCATCATCGCCAGAGTAAAAGCAAAAGAGAATAAATATTTTATGTTGTTACTTTATGTAAAAGATCAGATACATCCGTGAGGAGATACAGTGAAACATAATCAATTTTACATAATTAAAAATGAGTTTTCCCGATAGCTCAACTTTTTTAGACTGTGTCTATGTGGTCACTAATTCAAGCTCTAATATAGGTATTTCCAGTGTTAATTGTGGAGAAAGGTTGGTCACTCTGTATAGGGGTGAAACTGGGGGTAACATATACCCTGATCTCCGGGTGGATCAAATGTAGCAAGGATGTGATTATACGGATCGGAATCAAAGGTGAGAACTTCTTGTACAAAGGCCCGAACAAAATATTCGCCATCGGACTTGATAAAACGACGCACCACGGACCCGGGATGGGTTCTGAGACTTCGGGAAGCACATGAACGATTGCACACGACTAACGGAGGGCCGTGATATCCGCATCCAACCGGGTATCGTGGTGCAGATCTCGCTCGATGTTGGTAACAGATTAATAATTAATGAGAGGGGAAAATTTTTACCTTTTTTAGACTTGTACTAAGGGTGAAACTCTCCTACTATATAAAGGGGAAGCTTTTATTTCAATAGCATACATTGTAACATGCATACCAAGGTAATGTCAATGCCCCCTTTTTCTAAAGCGAAATCGGGTTCACGACATTTGGGAAGACAACTCTATTCCCGTTTGGGAATTGGGTTTTGGAATTGAAGAGTCGCCACCTAATGATTAAGTGCATTAGGACACTAAGGGTTTTGAATTGGAAAAACAGAGTTCGGGTAAGGGCTAGAAATTATCTCGAGGGGAAGGTGTTAGGCACCCCTCAAGATTCACTAGTGTGGTTCCCGGTCATGCTATGTTGTGACTTTAATGTAAACAAGTATACAAATAAATTTACACATAAGGGTTGCAAACAAGCATGTTGGAATTTATAATTTGTTTGAGGGAGAGTCTAAGTGCAAGAATTAGTCGAGACATGGAATAAACAAAGAAGAAAAAGTTAAAAGGAAAAGGAATAATGCAGTGAAAAAATTAAAGGGGAGTTTTTGAGTAATTGAAAAGACAGAATTTATTGATACTAAACAAAGTAACATAAGGAAAGGGGTCCTAGGTTTATAAATCACATGGATCATCCACACAACACCGGTAACTAATCGTACGGAAAGTGTTATCGTGTGATCATCATCTCCATGTCTACCCTTCCCACCCCGTTAAGGTATTTATCGCGGAATGGTATTGCTACCTACAGCGTGCTATTACCCGTCCCACCTATCAGTCCTGGAGGCTTTTAGTACTACTAATCCTAAAGGGAGGAAGCTTGGCTTTTCAGAGTTTAAAAGGATAAAATTCTAAGGCGACAGTCAAAAACACATAATACACTTAATAGGGAGATAAAGCAATTAAAGGCTCAAGTAGGCCTCCTTATTTAGAGAAACGAATTGTTTAGCACGTCTTACACATATTGTTTAGGTCCTTGATTAAAATTAGCGTAGGAAGAATTGATCTACCACATATTTCCAGATAGGGAGTCCGAATTAGTCCTGCTTAGATGTAGTTGCAGAAACACTGACGATTGATTAATTATCTAACTATCTATCTGCGTTAAACAGGGTCTATATGCATGATACTATTAGTTCAAAGACGGGGGAAGAACGAATTGATTGCAAAAATATTTAAGTTACAGTATCGTAAGTTCTGCGAGCACTTTAAACGAATTACTACTTATTTTAAAGATGAGTGGGCAATTTCAGATTTTAATCGATTACTCCTATAGGCATGCTTTCTAGGTGTTACGAATCTTGTTATGCAGAAATCTTCTAAGCAGGTCATTGATATGATTGGTTTATTTTAGGCCCTATAAGTGGAATTGCCTAATGACAGATGCACGTGCAAAAATGCAGGAAAAATCCAATAGGCATATTATCTACGTGATGTGCAGAATTTTAGCAGTGATTTATTGACGTGGTATATATTGTGAAGTGCAGAAAAACCTATGAGCATGGTATCTATGTGAAGAATGCAGCATTTTAAAGTACTAATCCTATAAACATGTTTTCGATGTAAAAATGCAGAATTGAGAGAATATACACCCTATAGACATGGTATCTACGTGAAAATGCAGAATTGAGAAAGTATACACCCTATAGGCATGGTGTCTACGTGAAAATGCAGAATTGAGAAAATATACATCCTATAGGCATGGTATCTACCCCTTTGGCATGCATTCTATCCCATCCCTTTTCACTATACCCCAGTAGTTATTACAAAGTTCATTACAAAGCTTATGACGGACCAAGTGAATCAAAAGAATAAATGAAAATACATCAGTGATTACATCTACATCTAATCAGCCTAATCCAGACTCAAAGTCTAATAATATGAGATAAACCAAGTTCCAGGATCGGATTTTTTAAAGCCTTTCTCTTATTTGGGATGTGTCAAAGTTCCAAGGAACTTCAAGAGTTCCAGGCAGAGCTTACACCCCAAATATTATTGCAGAACAGATTATAGTGCAGTGTGGAAGGGCCAGCCCTCAAGTGTCCAAGTTCAAAGGGAACTCAAGGTCCCAAGGCAAGGCTCACAGGAGGGGGGCAGGTTTCAAGGGCTTAGGAGTAAGTGTAAGTGCAATGAAAAGGAATTAGGGTGGGGGGAGCCAGGGCAGGCTGGTGGTCATGCCTAGCACCTGGGCTGCTGGCACACCCCTGACCAGCTTGTCAGCTTAAAAATTAAAGAGTTAGGATCCTTTGAGGGTCAGGTTCATCCATGGACAGCAATTTAGAGGCTGCCAGGCTATACCTTAACTCTATACACATAAGGGAATGGGGGTATGGGAGATTGAAAGAGGCTGGGATCCAAAGGACCCGGTCTTAATCCATGACAACAACTTTGTATGTTGCCATGTCTTAAACTTCAGCCCAAGAACATAAAGGGGAATGGGGATAGGGATTCGTTGCAGTAACAGATAGCCAAACATAAATAATCATTTTAAAACTGAACTCTATAAAGCAGTAAATTAGGCATGGGCATAAAAGCTTGTAAGTAAACACGTTGGATTTTGATGCTTGAATCAAAAGTAGGACATACCAGTTCAGAAGAGCAAGTAGGAAGAAACAGTAGATTTAGGGAAGCCAAATTGCAATCAAGAAGCAAGAGTGTAAGTTTTAGAAGAGAGTTGTGATGATTAAAAATCGTGTCTGTGTTAATGAAAGAGCGGGGTATTTATAATTGCAAACAGGTGTAGCAAATAAGGCAAGAATCGTAGTTTAGTAATAATTAAGGAACTATGTACCAATTAAAATCAATCAACATATAGACTTCCTTTAATTAAGGAGTCCAAATTCAAACGGTAATGGGCAGAAGTTGTTTAAGGAAGGAAATCAAGTAAATACCTCGTGAAAGGTAGACAAATAAGGGTAAATACATGGTGGTACTTGATTTGTAAAACAAGGAAAGGGAACCAGTAAAATAACCAGTAAAGAATCTCATTGAAAGCCTGGCTCGAGTCAGAAAAGAGGTAAAAGGAAAGTTTTAATTTAGGGAAAAATCAGTAACAATCAATTAAGCAACATTAAAGGAATTCAGAATCAATTAACAGTTGGCAAGACCTTTGAAAGAGAAGCTCTCGTATAAAACACATAGACATGTCAAGCAAGAGGGTTTCAAAATCACAAACGCAGAAAAAGGTTCAAATTCAATTCATAAACTCGAAGTGAGTCTGAGAGTTCAAGGTTTCAAAGTAGCACCCTTGTCCAAACATAAAACCAAATTTAGCCAAAGAAAACCCCCAAATCCTAGGGTTTTTAAACTCGAATTTGATACAGAGATGAAGAGGCAAACTATCGAGATGAGCTTAGAGACCCTTTCAGAGTCTCATGAGAAGCATACAAGCACAATAGCAAGTAGAACATAGGAACCAGTACAGGAAACAAATTTCAAGAAAGCTTGAAAATTAAATGAGTTCAGGTAGTGTAAACTTAAAGAAACAGTCGATGAAACACATCTAGAAAGAATCCAGGCGAAGTCTGGTAAAGGCAAACAAAGGATCAAAACTCAGTAGGAAAATACAGTAGAGGAACACATAAGATAGACATGAGAGAGCATGGTGAAAAACCAGTATGAGATAGAACGGAGCATAATAAAATAAATTCCATAACAAGGCAAATATAAGAACACATGAAAGGCATGTGAGTCAGAAAAGAGCCGGTAAGAACATAGCAGGGGTCGATTCACACCAAGAAAAGAGAAGAAGAAGAGTCAGAAACATTTTAAGGACTTTCCAGAAACCCTAATCGAAAAGAAGTGCTTTTTTGAAAGGAAATCGAAAAAAAAAGGTTTAAGAAACTTAAGCAACAGTGCAAACATGTAACAGATCTAAAATAATCGGAGAGAACCTCGATATTTAGGATCCCAGATGAACCCTAGAGATGAGAAAGGCTTCGAAAATACCCAATATAAGTCGGATAATGTCATAAACAGGCTCAAAAGACCAAGAGCCACCGGAGCAAGGCCGGAGATGGCCGAAATCTTCGAATCAGTGAAGGCCTGGGTGAAGACCCTCGAGGTCTGGCCTCGATCCTTCGAACAACAGGCATGCAGAAGCCATAGGAGGTGGGTATAGGCTGTCCTTGGCC